GAAGTCACTAGCTGCACCTTGACACCTCTTCAGCAGGTGAGAGATCCCTGCTGAATGAACGAATGCTTGGAATACAGAAGAGAATTAGGGGTAGGAAAATTCCCTTCAGCTTGCTTTAGAATCAGTTTATTAATTACAGAAACCTTGGCAATGCTTCATTTCCAAGGCAGGAAATCTGAGTCTCAGGGGCTTGGAATGCTTGCCTCAAATACAAGATCAGCCAAATACAGATTTTAATCCAAGCAGAGATGTATCCTACTGATTTCCTCTCCCTGCCCCTCCAAATACCTACCTACAGTCCTATAAATCACCTTCCTGACTTTTGCCTACACAGTACTGCTGTTGCTTCTACAGCAGGAAAGAATGAAGGGAGAAAGGGCTTTCTCCATCCCAGCAGGAGACACATCATTACACAATGCGCCAGCCACAGGCTGACACCACTGGGAGCTTTGTTAGTCCTGGGTGCAAATGCCAGCTGGACTGAGACTACAGCAGGGCAGAGGCTTAAAGCCCTCATGCTACATCCCAACCCAAATTCCACACATTCAACCCTGCTGCTGTATCTCTTATTTACATGATGATGGTGATGATGGTGATGATGATGATGATGATGATGATGATACAGAAACAAGGAGCAGTCTTGTTCTTAATATTCTGTCTAGGCTGGCCTTAAAATGAAAGCTGATTGATTAACATGAAAGTATTTCTCCACTTCTGTGGCAAATATAGGACTACCATCAAAAACAGCAGGACTTGGTTCCCCTGTCCCTCCTCCAAATAAGGAGTAATAATCTAAAATGCATTTTCTGACTATATCCACTTGCACTTGAAGTAAGAAAGAGCTACATAAGCAAATTCAGTTTTTTAAAAAAATTCTGCACTTCTTGGCTGTAAGAGTTGCAGCTTCAGCTTATTGAAATGAGCACATTTCCCTCTACTAGATTGGATGATGGGCTACGGAATTTCAGTGAACGTTATAGCTGATCAGAGGTTTAAAAACCATCAGCATGAAAGACCCAGGGGCAGGTTGGTGCCATCGGTGGGAAGAGCTTCAGACCAACTTCCCCCTCACCAAAGAAAGGTCTTTGACAGTACTGGAATGTTAGAAATTTTCTGTGTCCTGAATGCAAGTGATACATGAATGGATAGTGTCTGCTTGAACATTGCCTCTTTCTCTTTGAGTGTGAATTGATATAGTGAAAACAAACAAAAACCCTAGGGAATTATATGGATCCCATCATTTTTACTGTGTGTTTAGCACTTTTAGACTCTTGAAGATGCTTTAAGATTCTAATTTTCACTGGGCTCACTAGAATGTTTTGATATGTTACTCATATGTGATGTGTCACTGTTGCTCCTAATCTGCTAATGAAAATAATAATAATTAATAATAATATTTACATGAGATTGAAGGATGGATGATCTGGCTAATGGCTCCTTAGTTATATCTAGGTCAATATTGGAATCAGGCCACCTATCCAGGTGCAGCACTTTATTTGCTGGCTCACGGTGGGATGTTCTTTCTATTAAATAAGCATATTTTAAATCATGCTAAAATATGTAAAAAACTGGGGCATGCTTCCATAGGGAAGGAGAATAAACTGTTGCATTTCTTCTATGTGTTATGCAGCAAACTGGTTTCTAACTGTAAGAAATATCTCTTCATGTCCAGTAGTTATGGAGAAGGAGTGAAATGGATGACCATTGCAGATTTTTAGTGGAAAACAATTCAAAGCCCCCCTTTCTATGCTGAGTATGACATTTGTAGCAGCTAATATTAATCAAGCATTTTATAGCATTTCCTGAATACCAATGCCTTTTGAATACCTACTGTCATTCTGATTGAAGTACCATCCTGGAACTTGCTTACATTAGTAAGCATAGTTAGGTCAACTGAACATGTACATAAAACTGCAGGCCAAGCATATTTCCCCACTGAATTCAGTGGGATTTACTACTGGTTATAAGATTACACTGTAAGTGAAAAAAGAAAAAGAAATTGAATCACCCAGTGCTTATGTAAGTTTATTTTGTTTAGTTATGTTCATTCTGCAATCTGCCTTGGATCCCATTTGGAGGCCAAAAGTTACATTAGTGTTTTTCTGAAATGACTGCATCTATAAACTCTAAATTGATTGTATGAGTGCTTTGAGTGGCACTTGGACAGTGTCTTTCAGTGTGGTGCTTGGACAGGATATGTCTGCAAAACTTGGTTGACCTGGTGAGCATTATATTGTAATATCCAGTTATGAGAAGTTCTATATTGCCTGAACTTTTCCTTAGTGCTTGGTGTTTCCTCTTTAAAAATTCACCACCATCTTTACAGGCAACTAATTTGGTTGAACCGTTGTGATGATATGGGGCAGCAAGGTTCACCCCACCACCCAAGTCTGATTTGAGCCAAATCTATTTGAGAACATTTGGTAGAAGACCCCTCTTTATTCATTTTACAATAGGCGAGTTCGCACATCAGAGCAGCTAACTGTAACAACGAGCCATGGTGGGTTGGTTGTTTTGTGGACAACACATGGCACATGCAACAGCTTACTGTGGGTTACTTGCTCCCTCCCTCCTCAACTTTCCCCCTCAATTTTCTGGGTCCTCTTCCACAGGAAGCCTCAGCAGGACTAAATACTCTCTCCCTCCCTGACATGCTCAAGAGCTGCTCTTGGCTCCCCATGGCCTTTCTGCATTTCAAACTAACCTTTTCCAGTGGTATTCCTTCTCTCAAAACTGGGTGGTTTTTTGACTGGGATGTAACCAACCGCATGTCTCAGTCCAAAGCCCTCCATTGCCTTGTCAAAACTCCCTTCTAACAGAAAAGAGGGTGGGAAGCACTTTTGCACTTTCCAAAGCTGCTTTGAGAAAAAGTGTAAACTATGTATCACCCTAAGGAATGGCAGGGTGAGAAAAGAAAACTGGAGAATCTTGTTGAGAAGGGGATGTAACTCCTTCTACAGAATTTTTGCAAGCAAAGACTTGTAGATTTGTTTTCTCTTGACAGCAAAGGCGAAAAATAATCTGTTTGGAGCTAATTTGGGGCAATGGCTAGGGGTGCTTCCTGTTGTACTTTGTCAGTATGTATCCCCCATGCAGGCCTGTGCAGTTCTGCAAATGTGACTAAAAATGTAAATATAAAATAATGCCTACACTCAAGGGGCTGTCAGTGGCTGTCAAAATGGGGATTGGAAAAGCCCACTGTTTGTAGTGGGGGAGGCTTAAAGTGCTACAAGGCTTCAGGGAGCTGGAAGACCTCTTGATTATGGTGGGGAGAGCAGTAAGTCAGTGCCAACCACACCAAAAAGTGGACAGGACAACCTCAGGAAGAGTGGGAAGGGGATTTTAGTTCACTTGCCATGTAAGTCGGTAGACACTAGACTTTAGTGACAGTGAACTGGTCACCTGGCTTGGATGACACAAAAGCCCGCCATGGGAAGAACTGTCCTTACAAGAGTCATTTTTGGAAAAACAGCAAGCCACTGTGGTGAACTGGGCTGCATTCAAATGACACAACCACCAGCTGTGGTTCCCTGCCCCTGGTGGGTTGCTGTTTCATGACAACCACATCAATGTGTTGTGTAATTTGGGGCAACTCTTTGTACATTTCTTTCTAGGGAGTGAGGACCTATGTATTTTTTCAACCAGGCAAGAAATTTTTAGGAACAATAAATTAGGTATTGTTCCCTAAATACAGAAGCTGGGCAGAATCCAGAACATCTCATGCATGTGACTAAAACATTCGTCTGTAACTACTGGATCTTTTCCCATGTTGTAGTTTGTGAGGGCCTTCCTTTCTTTGGCAAAAGTGTGAGGTGCTTCTTTGTGAAGGAAGGGCATGAAATGGCCTTTGACTTATGTGCCAGTTCCTTGGTCCCAGAGTGCAAAGTGACCATGTCTCCTATTTGAAAAAGGACTGTTCTCGGTTTGAAGGCCCGTCCAGTCCAAATCTGGTCTAAAGATAACAAATCTCCAGAAGTGAAAGCAGAAACCTGGAAGTTGCCCCGCAACAGTGAACAGCTAGACAGCAGCCTGAGTGGCTCACCAATCACCCCACTATGGCATTGGATTTCCCTTTAAAGTGTACATGCATTTTTAAATTTCTACATTTCTAAATGGCCATCCTACTCTGGGGCTAAAATGGATGAATATGGGATACCTGTGACTGGGTCTTCCACTGGTTCAATGTCCACTTAAAAGCACTGCATAGCACTAGGGGACAGGAAATTTATAGTCCTTTCTACTTGCTCTTTTACCTGATCCTTTCAGAAGAGACTGTAGCTCAGTGGTTGAGCACATGCTTGGCATAAAAGTTGTCCCACATTTGGTCCCCAACAATTCCAGGTAGGGAGGCAAAAACCCTGGAGAGCTACTGCCAGCCAGTGCAGACAATACTGGGATGGATGGGCTGATCCTCTGAATCAATATAAGGCCTTTTTTCTCTGCCCATATCTACACACTTCTTTCCTCAAGCTTGTTGCCCCACATATACACTTCGTGGTCTAAAATTAGCATTGAATGCAGACAACATTGTTTAAGAAATACTGGCAAAATTTCCACATAGCATAGAAGCTGAGAGAGAAGTGGGATGCCCAGCCAAACATTCTAGTGTGGTGCTCTTGTTTAGAGGTCCTGCCAGCCAGGATATTCTGTTCCATTCCTGTTCCCCCAGTTAACTGTTCCTCACTGCCAATGTACAAACCATTCTAAGGTCCCTGGGTATGCATAGACCTCATTTGGATATTTTGGAAGCTTTCCATCCCTCCAGAGTTTCTTTTCTAAAGATATTTTTTGTTCTTTTGCAAACTGCTAGGGTTCCCTTGAGCCTGCTCATACCTTTCTCTTTGGCTCCATAAGGTGCTCTGAGAATGTTTTAGCATATAGGATGGCATGATATTTATAGAGAACATTTTTCCCTTCCATTTCCCCCACTTCTTCAATAGTAGAGAGGAACATTGACCACTTTCTCTTTCTCTCTCTCTCTCTCTCTTTCTTTTTTCCAGATACAGAAGAGTAAAAACACACACACACATATGTAATCAAAAAGAGACTGCAAATTTCTTTCATCATTTTAACTGATCTTCATTATTCTTCTCCTCCTTCCACAAAGACCTGTTTCTGGGGAGGGCATTACGCAGCTTTCCAGGCCCTGCTTCTTTTCCTCCTCTCACTGGCTACTTCGCAGTTAATGACTCTTGAGGCTTTCACTTCAGGATTTTTTAAAACTTGTTTTTTTTCATGTAAGTGAAGGTTTGGGGCATTTTTCCCTCTCTCCCCTGCTCTCTCTCTCTCTCTCTCTCTTTAAAACAAAGTTTCCCCTTAGCAAAATTACTCCTCTTTCAGGACTTACAAATAAAGCAAGTGTGAGATCTTATGTTGGTAAAATGAGTTCCAGCTTGTGAAGGATATTTTGACAAGACAAAGCAGAGAACTGACCCATCCATGGAAAGAGGCTTGAAAAACACTCCATCAGTTATTTTAATGTACAAGAAAGAAAGGAAGGAAGGAAGAAAAGAAGAAGAAGAAGAGGAGGAAGAGGAAGAAGAAGAGGGAGCATTTAATTGTCTGTCCATTTGATGCCATGATTCAGTGTTGGGTTTTTGTTTTTGACAAAAAGAATTCTGCCTGTTTTACAGATAAGAAGCAAATTGCTTAATTCCTAGTCAGCTTTATAGTATTATTTTTTTAAAAAAACAACAGCAACAAATATTCTCTAGATTTTATTTGCTGGAGGCCTGCTTGATTTGTATCTTTGACTGTCATTCGTTTCATCAATTGTCTTGTTGGTTTGGCCCTGTTACATGAATGTTGCACAGGCTTTGGGTGATTGTGTTGCCTTCTGTAAAAGGAGCATCCACATGACAGGATCACTTCTAACCTTTTCAGCCACCTCTCAAAACACTGTGGGAAGCATCCCAATTCCTCCTGTGAGATCATTTTTCAGCACTGAATGGCTTGAGGAAGGGACAGGTAATGTGCCAGTACAGGCAAATGGAGTGCAGTGTGCATTCATGTCAGTTAGTCTTTCTGGGTTTGGATCACCTGCCTGTGATACCAGTATGAAGTAGGAGGAGATTGGAAATGGCATCCGAGCAGTAAAAGGCAGGTGGCTGATACTGCCAATATGTCAGCTGGGCCAGGAGAGAGTAGGGCATTCCCAGTTACAGGAGCTTAGCTGTACACTGCTTGCTGCAATGCCTCCTATTAACCTCCAATTCCAGAGGAAATGACTTCCTTTCCCCCTCACCTGTCCTCAGCGCATGGCAAACTACAAGGCTGGTGAAATCTCCAGTGCCAGAATGCACAGCTCTAGAGCCTGATTCCAACTCAGGGAAGATTTTGGTGGCTGCATTCCAGTTGGGGGCAGAGGGGAGAGAGGGGTCCAAAGAAAAAAGGGACAGGCCAAGATGACCAGTGGATTTTAGCTTAACGCTCTTACTACCAGGAAGAAAGCTTTGGGAGAGACATTCCAGTCTTGTAGAAAACCACACAAAAATGTACAAAAACCAAGAAGGAAACTGCACCAAAGCTAGGAAACTACCAAAACAATAGACAGTTAAGGAAAAGGGATCAGGCCAAGGCAGTGACATCTAGCAAACCCCACAAGGCCAAGCTGTTTTGAGCTGGTCCTCGTCTCCCAACCTTTTGCCTTTTCTCTTCCTGGAGAGGCGCTTCCAGCACTTTTATTACGCTAAAACTGGCCAACGAGGCTGGCTTTGTGGTACAGAGTGAGCAATATAAAGGTGGTTAACAAGAAGCATCCATCAAGTTAATGATCCTTCTAATTCTGCTCATTTCAGAAAGTTCCAGACTGAATTCCCCTCCTCTCTCCCCCGCAAAACTGACTTTCAGGGAGGTTTGTGCTGCTTGTGGGTGACATGGCAGGAACCCTGGACATGACCTAATTGACTTATCTGACTTGATTTCAGACCAAATCTACTGAAAAAAAACCTCCTGATGACTTCAGTAGGGTATCTGAAATGTAGAGTGCATGAAAAGCTCTCTACCCAAGCATGATTTCAGGCATCCTGCTTAGGTCTGCATTTAGGTTGCAATTCTATACCTGCATATGTGGGAGTGAGTCCAATTGCTCTCAGCAGGACTTACTTATGAGTAGATACATATAGGATTGCACTGTTCAAGGGTTCTTGGTCCAAGCCCTACCCTTTGGGGCAACATTCTCATGACAGAGTGGACCATCCACCACTGGTATACGCATCCTGAAAGAACAGCACACAAGTAAGGAACCCTTTAATTGGGATGTCAGCCCTCATGGAATTCCGCCCAGGTTGGTTATTTCTGTGTGCCCCACATGCGTTATCAGTCCGTCCTTCTTCCAACGTAAGTGTGTGTGGATTTGCAAGCCTCTCTCTCATACCCTTTGGGCTATTGGGCAGTATAGACATTGTTTTAAAAAATGAAATACATACATTTTTCTGGAAGATTCCTGGTTATTGTAGATTTAGGAATTCTGACATACTGAGGAAGGATTATACCCATATTCCTGCAGGATCCACTGCACTGGTAAAAGTGGATTCTCCATTCCCTCTTTCCAATGTCAGCCCCTCCAGTGCCCTGCAAGTGCTGCACAAAGACAAGGAATCCCTCTGGGATGTGCTCTGTGTGTGTGTGTGTGTGTGTGTGTGTGTGTGTGAAACAAACCCCAAAATTGGGTGGAGGGAACTGCCATAAACAGAGCCCCTCTCCAAGAAAGGCAGATCCTGCATCCAACCCCAAGTGTTCATGCTAAGTTAGTTTAAAATATATTTATGCTTGTAGGCATTGCAGCTTTATGTACCTCCCCACTAAAGTTCAGGGTGTAAAATAACATTTCTTCTCTCATGCCTCATACTGTTATGAAAAATGGGAAATTGAGGATAAAAATAACAGGGACTTGCTTAATGCCGCTGAGCCCTCAACTGTACAGGGTAGATTTTCCCAAGTTGTTACCTTCTGGGTGTGTTTGGCTACAAAGAGGAAGGTAAAGATCTCTTCTTGCTGATGACAGAGTGTAGGACACGGAATAATCAGTTCAAGTTGCGACAGCCCAGATTCAGGCTGGACATCAGGAAAAGCTTCCTCACAGTCAGAGCAATACGACAGTGGAACCAGCTGCCTGGAGAGGTGGTGGGCTCTCCCACACAGAGACATTCAAAAAGAAACTGGGCAGTCATCTGAGTGGGATGGTATAACATGGTGTCCTGCAACAGCAGGGGGTTGGACTCGATGGCCTTCATGGCCCCTTCCGACTCTTCTAAGATTCTATGATTCTAAGCCCCATCCCATGACTGGCCAGGGATGATGGCGGTTGTGATAAAAATCTGGAAGGCGCCAGGTTGTGGAAGGCTGCTACAGAGATTCTAAAGCCTGACATTCCAAATACTTTGAAGTTTTTAGTTTTTGGTTCAACGAAGAAGTACTTAGTGCTTTACCAGAACACAACAGACTGGTTGGTACAGACTAATCCTTTGTGTGTTTATTCAGAAGAAAGTCTCATTGATTTTAGGATTTTAAGATCACTCATTCCCAAATAAATGTGTACATGGGACCGTGACCTTAATTTTCTTAAGAAACGGGTTTTAGAAAAGGTGCATAGTTCCTTTTCTAGGATAACAAGCTACATATCTCTATTTATCCAAACAACATCCCATCCCTTGCAATTCCTGTGCTCAAAAGTAAGTGGAAAAGTTACATACTTTGGGAAAAGTATATATTTCCTCATTTTTTGCATTCAGAAATATGGGTAAAATGGAGAAATGGGATTATGCATAGATTTAAATATGTTTATAGATTAACATAAAAAGAAAAAATATGGGGGGCTGACCCAGTAGGTCTGATGCTCTCGATGACTATTAGGTTTGTTCGGTCTGTTAGTTAGTAGAAAATAATAATAAAACTTATTAAAAAAAAAGAAATATGGGTAAAATGCACACAAATATACTTCAAGCAATGGGGAAAGAATGTGTACCTTTCAATGATATATACATTTGATGAACACATTTTAAAAATATGCACAAATGATGCGTAGGTTTTTATGTGAAAAGAAAAAAGTAAACTCACAATCTGACAGGAACACAAGGATAGAACAAGCTCCAACGTGAAATTTGGAGAATTTGGACAAACTGGAGTTCTGCTTGTATGCCACCTTTAAACAATTAACTCCCTGTCCAATTCATTTCTAGTGTCAGACCCAGGCTTGCGGGGGAGAAAGCTTGAAGGCAGTGGAACCCTCCTTTTCACTTGCCCTTTTTTTGTAAAGTATAGAATCAAAACACATCTCTGCTTTTAGTCTATTAATCCACATCATTGTGGCTTTTCCAGCTGTTTGGATTTACTCTTCAGTGCTATTCTGAGTCATTCATTTATTTGAAAGCATCTCTGCTTGGTGAGCATGTGGCCCAGAAACTGTGGAAAGGAAGGAGTGGCTCTAGTGTTCGCCATCCCTGGGTGTGTGTATTCCTATTCATGAAGCATTTCCTGCCCCAGACTCCTTATCTGGCCCTGCAAGGAATTTTCTCTCTACCTCTGTTCACTATATGTAACTTGTAATAATACTGTGGCCTACATTTCGGCGGGGGGGGGGGGGGAATGTGAGGACAGACATGATAAATGCTGGAGAGAGTAGCATTTATTGGTGAAGACATCTTCTTTATTCCTTGCACAGGACAACAGGGCTTTGGTGTGCAATGTGTTAATTTTCCCGTTTCTCCTTGCCTTATTCCAAGTTGCCTGACTTTCTGCAGCCCATGGCAATATCTGAAATGACCAATCATATTGGTGAATGGATATGTTTAAAGGATTTTCTGCCATGGTGTCATGGTTTGGCCTCGGGCAAATCACTTGGTCATCATCTCAGTTCCCACCTATAAATGGAATTAATAGTGTGATGCAAAGGAACTAGAAAACAGTCATAAAGAAAGATTGAAGGAACTGAAAAATAAATACTAAGAAGGGATATGATAACATTTTTCAAGTGTCTAATGAGATGTCACAAAGACGAGGGCTGCAACGTGTTCTCTGTCATCCAAGACTAGACGACATGAAATAACAGGCTTAAGTTACAGGAATACAGATTTTAGCTGAACATCAGAAACATATGTCAGAGTTGTCAGTCAATTACTGGGTTCACACGCCATGCTAAGCAATCATGTTTTGTTTTGTTTTGTTTTTTTACTACCGTGGGTTAGCCAGACACTGTTGTGGTATATCACCACAGCTTGTTTTGGGGCCCAAAAACGATGACAAGGAATTTATTTATTTATTTATTTATTTATTTAGAGTTTTTGTATGCCGTCCCATCGCTTATAGCCTCGGGACGGCTCACATAAATAAACAAACATGATACAAAATACAATTAAAATCTGGAAACACCCTGGCTGCACAATTAAATCCTATAGATATTAAGCGTTTTTAAAATATTTTTTAAATAAAAAGATCTTAGCCTGGTGCCGAAAAACAAATAATGACGGCGCCAGGCAGACCTCTCTGGGGAGCACATTCCACAGATGGGGCGCCACCGCAGAGAAAGCCCTCCTCCGGGTACTTTGCCTCCTGATGTGTCTCCCGGAGGGCTCCCGGAGGAGGGCCTCTGCTGCCGATCTCAAGGGGCAGGAGGGCAAATATGGATGCAGGTGTTCCTTTAGGTATCCAGGTCCCAAGCCGTTAAGGGCTTTGTAGATGACAACCAGCACCTTGAATTGAGCCCGGACTTCAATGGGGAGCCAGTGAAGCTGGTAGAGGACTGGGGTTATGTGAGAGTAATGCCCAGTCCCCATTAGCAACCTGGCTGCTCTGTTTTGCATCATCTGAAGTATCCAGACTGTCTTCAAGGACAGCCCCACATAGAGCGCGTTACAGTAGTCCAATCGGGAAGTTACCAGCACATGTGTCACTGTCGCTAGGCAGTCGTCCTCCAGGTAGGGACAGAGCTGATGGATTAGCTGAAGCTGAAGGAAAGCGCTCCTCACCACAGCAGTCACCTGAGCCTCCAAAGAAAGCTCTGGGTTGAGGAGCACTCCCAAGCTGCGGACTCTGTGCTCTAGAGGGAGTGCAGCCCCGTTCAGAACAAGATCCAAGTCACCTACCCTGGAGCCCGAGCCACCCACCAACAGGACCTCCGTCTTGTCTGGATTGAGCTTCAGTTTATTGTCCCTCATCCAGCCCATTACCTCGGCCAGGCACCGGTTCAGTACAGCCACTGCCTCACCTGGATTGGTTGAGAAAGAGAGGTAGAGCTGGGTATCATCAGCGTACTGATGGTTCCGCAGCCCACACCTCTGGATGACCTCTCCCAGCGGTTTCATGTAGATGTTAATGTAGATGCAATGCCCTGTTGTATGGATTTTCTTTGGGGTCAGACTAGATGGCCCGGGAGACCCTTTCTGACTCTCTCATTTCTATGTTTCTACTTATTGTCTGTTGTGACATCTGGACCCAGGAGCAACCTTTTTAAACAGAAATAGCAACAGAAGGGGCTGCCCTAGGCATTCGATCTTTACTATTCACAGCTTCCTAGCAAAACAAATGTCATAACTTGCCTTGATCCTATTGGTTGGGTGCTGTGCCCATCACCCTGTTTACTTTCTGAAATAGAGAGAAGGTAGGCAATTGCACAGAGGCAGAAGGGGGGAATTGCAGCAAAAGTGCTCATTTTAATGTAATAAACCCCCACCTTTTGTGTGCTGGATTGGCTAGGGAGCGTTAAGGAGATGGAAGCACAATCAGGAAGGGGGAGAGAAGGACCCGCTTCAAAGCCTCTCTTGAGGCAGTTGAGACCAAAAGCTGTAGCTGTTGGGAATGAAAGAGGCAGTTGTTTTTGGCATGTTTTCCAGGACTCTTTGGATGAGGATGCTTGTGAAAGGAGGTCTATTGACATAGAGATGGTGGAGGGGGAAGAGATGATCTTAAGGCTGCGGACTCCAGGTGTTCCAGCAGTCTCTGGGAACTGATAGGATTTGGAAATGCCAGGAAGAGCCAAGAGAGAGAAGCTGGAAGAGCCAGGCCCAATTCTTGACTCCATGAAGCAGTGTCAGGAGAGACGGGTGAGCCAACTAGAGGACCTGAGTAGATCTAGAAGGTTTCCCATCTTCACAGGTACATGCCCAGGGTTGGGGTTGGGCCCAGGATTACCAAAAAGGAGGAGTCTTGGAAATAGTTTCTAGTTTGGGTTCAATGAACCACTCCATGTATGCTCAGAGACTCTTCCATAGTTGGCTAATAGCTTGCTGGATGTACACTGGAAATAAAGAGCTTTTACCAAAACCTGTCTGTTCTTTGAAAATGAGGAAGGAACCCAGCTCCCAAGAGTAGTAATGAATGGACTTTGTTTACTGGTGCTGTTGTGATGCATGTCAGGAGTGGGGGAGCAGAAAATAATGGAGCCGGCCAGGGTGTATGATCCTCTGTCAAAGAAAACATGGTAAGTTACCACCAACTGTGACAACTCCCACTCTGGCTTGTTGTGATGTATGAACCAACCACATAAAACCAAAGACTTAGGGAGGAGCTGAACTCTCCATTGCTGGAGATATTCAAGCTAAATCTGGATGGCCATCTAAAGCTAGAGCTGTGTGCAAATGGCCTTGAAATTTCCCACAGAGATATGGATGATGGGTGGGCAGCAAGTTCAGGAGAATTCTCCAGCAGGAGAATTTCTCCAACAACTTCTCACAGATAGGCTTACTACTGACAAGGGTGCTAACACAGCTTCTTTCTTTTCACCAAAGATTTTTCCTCTTCCTCTGTTTTTTTCTACTGCCACTACAAGTGGCAATAGCAGCCCCAGTGCTGGCCTCCTTTCTGGATTATCCACAATACCTCATACTGAGCACTCTTCTGGGACATTGGTGGGAGGTGGGAAGAAGCAGGGTGCAAAGCTGATCCAAAAATGCGGGAAAGTTGGTGAAATCCTGCAAAATCAACTTTTATTCTAAGGAGGTAAGAAAAGAAAAATCTCAAGGTTTTTCTGAGAAAAGTCTTTTGAGAAATGGTGCCATTCTTTAGGCTCTCCTGAACGTTAAATTTCTGAGGACAGTTTGGGAATATGTCTCCACTGTGGGTATATATAGAGAGGTGTACAATGAAAGACAGGGTAA